CTTTATTCTATTCCTTCGGCTTGCTCCGTCTTGTTACCGATCGACTGCTCATCACTATCCTCATTACAAAGCTCAGTCCATAACCACCACCATCACGAGGTAACCAGCTACAGCAGCAGCGAGAGCGAGCGTTGTGGTGGCAACAAGAGATGGAGTCGTTAAATGAAGCAGCTTCAGCACTATCTTTGATAAGAATATTACAGAAGAGGATGAGGAAGCTGCGGCGGCACGACAGGCCGCTTCTCTCATCCTTGGGGATGATATCGTTGCCGACCTTCTCGCATCATCTGATCCTTCAGCAGCAGCGAAGAGCCTTCGGCAGAGGAACAGAGACAAGTACTCTGCATCCTCCTCCGGCAACAACGTAGAAGGCTCTACCATATTGGTGGTAGAAGATGATAGTATCGCCGGTGATGATGTCGATTATCTGTTTGTTCCAGACGCTGCTGATACTGGAAATAACAATTGAGGACCGCCAGTTCATGGCCACCACTAAAGGAACACGAAGGAAGCACGACGCAGAAACTAACACCACCTCATATCAAAGTAGGCGGAAAGGCCACCAGCAGCAGACCGGCAGCAAAAGAGCATTTGCTGGAGATGTGGAGGAGACGACAGTCGACGAGGGCTCGGTCGCTGGTGCTAGAAAGAACACTATAGAGCAAACGATCAAACGATTTGAGAATCCGCAAGATCTAGAGAAGGACTATAGGATGGCAACCGTACCGACGAGAACTCCTAAGAGGATCCTAGCTTGGGACCTTGGAGTGAGAATTGCAAAGAAATCTGATGCGAACGTTGGCAAGTGGTATTGCCTGGCAAGCGAGCAATGCCGACGGGCAAAGCAATGCCTTCGGTCAATGGTAGTTCATCAATCAATGCTATGAAGCACTTAAAAGCGGCACATGGACGTTCTTCAACTAAGACGAAAACGACGGAGGGAAACAAGCGACGTAAGGTAGAGGCGGTCAATGCTGCGAAGGCCTCCGCTCTTTTATAAGATGACCCGGAACGCTTATACGAAATGCTATGGACTCGTCTGGTTATAACGAAGCTGCTACCTTTGGGCTTCTGCGAGGATGACAAGGTTCAGCATTTTGCTAAATGCAGTGGGCCACCTATTGGCAAGCATCTACCCACGCGCAAAAGACTTCACCATTTGTTTTTTGAAGTAAAAACGCTACGAAAGAGGGCTTCAGGACCGATCTAAGGAGGATCCAAGCTAGCTGCCCTTTGCCAATATTTAATCTGAACGTGGATCTCTGGACCTCGAAGACCTCAAAGGACAAATATGTCGGGATTTGAATCATCTTCGTGGATGCTCAATGGCGTATGAGAACTTCCATTCTCGTTATAAAGCACTTCTGTCCAGGCTCGGTGGAATACAAGAGCTCCCGGTGATCAGAGGTCCTTTATTCATGGGTCACAGATGTTCTCGCAGATTTCGGCCTTTGCCCTCGGATATTGCTCGGTCTACATCTGACGGAGGAGGTGATATAAGGCGCTTGCTATCAAAGCTTTTAACGGCAGCTATTTGAGAGTGGTGTGTGCCTCGTCTGTCAAACTGCGCTCTGCAAGAACCATACGGGACAAACTTGGATCCAAGCAAGGTTGGGAATATAGAGTGCCGAGAGACTCTGCAGAATATGCTTAGTGTCATCGAGCACTTGAACAAGGTGCCACAGGGGAAACAGCGATGTTATGAGCTCCAGGACGGGTTGATGAACACATCTTTAGCTGTCATCAGCCATGCCCCTCATCGTTTCTTAGGCCTCACCAAAGTTATTGAGCGCTTCTTGGAGCTTTGAGATCCGATAGACAAGTACTATGATGAAAGGCCAAAGCTTTCCAACCCGATGTCGTCTTTGAAGGAGGAATTGAGGCAAATCTATTCCCTCATTGCCCCGGTGAGAGCGCTGATGCAAGAAACTCAAGGTTGCAGCAAGCCCAGTGGTGCCCTCGCTCTACTTGGTCTTGTTGGTCTCCAGCTGAACACTATGTCAGCCGTAGCTCCTTTGCAAGTCATGCGACATTCAAGAGACGAAAATGGTGAGAGCAAGGAGGACGCATTCTTTGTAGAACACCATATGCTGCAGGAGATTGTGCAGAAGACCAGGAGGCTGATGGAGAAGGCCTTCAAGAAGCGATTCTTTGTCTGCTACGATCCCGAGCTGTTTCCGGAGACTTCAACGAAGAAAGACAAAGCCAAATGGCCACATTCTTGCGTCTTGTCAATGGCTTGCGCTCTTATCCCTAACCTGACGGAGCTAAATTTTCTTCAGTTGGTAGTGGACAGCCTTTACGAAGGAAGACTCTCGGATCAACAACGGACAAAGCTAGTTGAGGCAGTGAAGAAAACTTTTTGGGACATGATTTTTTCAATGGCAATAAGAGCGTCCACGAAGCTATCGGCCGCAGGTGGTGTAGGGTTTGGGGCAGGAAACCCTCGAAAGGATAACCTTTGGAGGGGCAGAGGTACGAACTCTTCCGCTGGTATTCAGAACGCAGGAGGCACATCATCATCAGCAAGCAACGTGTGGGCGCCCAGAGAGAGCTTGGTCTCAACATCAAACCTCTTTAAGGGCCTCTTTGATAAGAGAGCTTCAGTGGCAGGCAATATCTTAGTCGGATTTCCTTTGGAGACTTTAGTGGATGAGAAGATAGAAAGCTTTCTGAAGTTTACCCTCGGACTGGTGATGCCGCATGACTTTGAGCCTCAGAATGTGCCGGATGGGTCCTGGATGAAACACTAGGGCAGATTTCCTCACCTCGCTGCAGTTGCTAGATGTATCTTTGAAATCCTGCTCAGTTGCGGGTATTGAGAGTGATTTTGGAATCGCTGGTGTGCTGTTGAATCCACGTAAAACCAACCTTGACACCTTCGTTGTTGAGATGATCATTTTCTTAAACATTAATGGAGAACACATTTTTTGGGGATGATATCCCACTCATTCGATATTCAAGGAGGTACAGCAAGCGGCAGGAGGAAGATCAAAGTTTGTTCCAAAGCGCTATACCACAGCAACTCCAGCCGGATCAACAACCTTGAATGAGGCGGACGATGAGAATAATGCAAAAGCTGACCGGATCTTTACAGCGGAGAATATCGAAAATGACTTTGACTTTTTCACTGCAGGTAGCATGGATGATGATTGACTCTACCATGATGAAATACCAGCAGTAGCGGTAGCAGCCAACTAACCTTTCAACATCGCTTATAAATAAAGAGGAGAGCTGATTATTGTGATCACATATATGCTGCTACTTGTCCTACTCGGAAAGAATTTTATCACCTTGTGCTCACTGTTGAGGATCAAAGTATTGATGGATCATCACTGTTGTACACGAGTCTAAGCTTCCACCCGCGCTTGGTCGGTATTATAAATAGGAGAACGCAAGAGGATAACATTATCATGATGTTCATCTTCTTGTTGCGTCAATGATGGCTTTAAGGAGACGAACGATGGAAAACAACAATAACTGTCTGCCCTGACTGACCTTCTAACTCATCGTGCTCCATCCTCTTCGACCGTTCTTCTTCTTCTTCCTTACTTTTCCATTCTTACTTCACATTCACCTTACGACTATTTCTTCCGTTAGCAACAAGCAAGCAACACGATCATCATATAGGAATAATTGCTGATAATAGATGTGTACCTCAACACCACCTCTTGCTATGACCGACCCTATTAATTACGTCTTCTCTTCTTCTGCTGCTGCTGCTACTTCATGGTGGTGTTGGGTTATCTCGACGATCAATAAATAAATAATAAAGCAGCAAACAAGAAATTGGCTAGAAGAAGGTCAGTTGGCGAAGATAGAAGAAGAAGAAGCGAAGAAGCGAAGAAGAAGCGAAGAAGAAGAACAATCCTTGCCACAGAAGGAGAGGGAGGAATGACGCACCTGCTGCAGATAGAAGCAGCGAGCGAGGGCATTTAAGGCTACGATGTTGTGACTAATGACGTTGATGATGAGGAGTGGTGATGGCGCGTGGTTAGTTTGCTGGTTTATGTGATGGATAGTAGCTAACATACAAGAGTCGATGAAGGACTTGAAGGACTACACAATACTTCTTGTGGGCGCGCGCGGCTGCCTACTACTGCTGCTGGCTGGAGACTCATGCAAGTACTCATGATTTTACTCATAATTCTCACTCATAGACAGTCAGCAATTTACTCATGCAGTACTCATAGACGTCTCTAAAAGTACTAATCCCATCAGTACCGCAGCGGAAAACATGTATGAGTAACTCGAGTACTTTGTACTCACCCTTGAATCATAAGGACCTCACTATGAGTACATGTCACTCATAGGCCATGAGTTAACTCGAGTAACGAGAAATGTACGATACTCACCCATCTCATGGGTAATTACCCAATTCTCATCTGGTCTGTGCAGTATTTGGCACTTGTCCAAAACAGCCGTTCTAGATTTTCTCAAATTTTTAGAATACAACACAACGACGTTTAAATAAAGGTCATTCTGTGATATCTGTATAAGTACATATACTTAATATTGACAATCCTAGAAATGTCGACTCTCGAAACTCTCGCGCTCAAGGATGAGGATTACGTGGAGCTTCTGCGCAAGCTCATCAGCGTCTCAGTACGAAACATCATAGTTTTGTTATTTATTACGCTTCTAAAGTTTGGTCTACAAATTGTATAGGAAAAAGTTCAAAATGCTCCTAGTCTAGGACTCGTGCCTTCTGAAAACCTCGTCTCTGATTTCGTCCTGGAAGAGCTGGCACCTTTTATTGGATCTACACTTCATGTTGAGCGCGTTGAATTTGTACCAGGACGTGGCAATGTCATTATCAAGTACGCACCATCTTCAGCGTCTTCTGACAAGACACTGGCGCTTGTCGGCGCACATTTGGATGTTGTCCCAGCAAACCCTGAAAGTTGGGAGAGAGATCCTTTTACTTTAACAGTTGAGGGAGATAAACTATACGGACGTGGAACCACGGATTGTCTTGGACACGTAGCGCTTTTGACTTGTGAGATTGTTGGTTACGTTATTAGAGTCTTTTGGAATTCTCATGACTGGATGTTTTGTAGTATTGTTTAAAGAATTGGCAAAGCAAGCGATACAAACCAAGACACAAGTTGTGTGTGTGCTTATTGCCTCTGAAGAAAATGGAGAGATTGAAGGGGTTGGAGTTGAAACGTTGATGGAATCTGGAAAATTGGATTTTATCAAGAATGGACCTGTGTTTTGGATTGATTGCTCTGATAGTCAACCTTGCATTGGGACAGCTGGAGCAATTACATGGTCGCTTAAAGCAACAGGCAAGCTATTTCATAGTGGATTGCCAAATTTGGGGATCAATGGACTCGAATTGGCTATGGATGCTATGGCGAAAATCCAAGAGTATTTTTACAAAGAGTTTGGACCGTTAGACAAGGAAAAGGAGTACAATTTCTCGTGTCCTTCGACTATGAAACCAACGCGAATCGAGTCATCAGTTAATGGATTGAATCAAATGTATAGACACAGAAGGAATTGAGAGGATTGAAGTGTTTCTGACATTTTTTTCGTAACTAATTTAGTCCGCCTTGGACCAAAATTGCCGGTGACGTGCGCTTGTCTCCATTTTACGAGATGAACGAGGTGCGTTCTGATTAACAAGTTTCAATGAAATATCTACTGGAACGTCCTGGTATCATTTGCAGATGGTGAGCAAGATGACCGCCTTTGTAGAAGACCTCAATACGAACATTTCGTCCTTGGAAGGCAAGCGCGGACCAGTTTCCATGTATACGCTTGAAAGTGAAAGGTGCAAGGGCATAGTAGAGCTGGTATTTGACAAGAATTACTACGAAGGCATTGCCTGCTCGTTGGATTCAATTGGATATAAGTGCGTCAGAACGAAACGAAATTTATTGTGTATCTCACGTGTATACTTGTTTGGAACAGGGCTCTGCATGCTGCGATCAATGAGGTTCTTGGACAAGCGAAACCTTTTTCAATCAGTGGAAGGTGCAGTTCTTTGACCTTGTAAAAATCAATATTCTTGATATTAATAGCTTATGCACTTAATATGTTCTCGTGTCTAGCCTGCCTCTAGTTCGTGATATGCAGCGTGGTGGCTTTGACCTCACACTGGTTGGCTTTGGCAAGAGCTCAGTCTATCATGGTGACAATGAATATTGCTTGTTGAGCGACATGAAGAATGCCATGAGGATTCTAGCCCTCACCATCGCCAACGTTGATGCTGTCTAAAAGCATTGATACAAATGTTATATGCTCAAACCGAATGGATGACAACTTAAGTGAGACTATCGTATCTGATCTTGTAAAGGTACATAAATACCCACTTTTATTTTGATCTCTGGTCTTTAAAATTCCATACCACCGACTTTCGTGAAGCACATGATGCCGAATCTTGTCCTCAATTACTCGTCAGTAGCAGGAACCCGCTTTCGCTGCCAAGACATTTGTGTAAATTGTGGACTGTGACCAATCGTCGGCTTCTTTCGATGCATAGCTTCAGCAGCGACGCGTCTATTGGTAATTATTTGACGACCAAGATTTAACATTGCAGCTGTAACCGAAGATGGCAACTTGGCATATGAGCGATTCGTGACCAGATTGACGTAGAACAAACGACCGGTTTTTGGATCCGACCGACGTGCCCATTCCTTTGGTAAGTTACTAGTTGAACTCGCATTTGATCGTCGACTTGATAGTAACGAACTTCGACTCGTGAATGACTCTGGAGTTTGTGCACTGGACGGTGAAGAAGATGTGGAAACTGATAAACTGGGCGCACCTCGAGCGGATGAGATCGAGGGAGGATTTGAAGCCCCACAAAACATATTGTCTAAAGAAACTTTGACTGGCATTTTCCATGATGCTACTTTATTGTTCGTGTCATAATAATATTCACGTCCATTCTTCGAATGAATACGACGTATCCAGCCATCAGGTAGTGCAGCTAATGTTGTGTGCGTACTTTTCGATGCTCCAGATTGTCGACGCAGCGATGAAGCAGTAGCAGCAGCCAAAGTTGAGCTTACACCTTCTGGTCGACGCACAGATTCAGTTTTGCTTGATGTGCGATCAGTCAACTCACTTCCTCGTGCATGTTGTTGATTATTGCTATTTCTTGAGATTCGAGAAGTAGCTAGTGGTGCAGTCTTCACGAGACGGTCACGAGTGGATGAAATATATGTCGTCGATGTGCCATGGTGAGGAATCATACGATGAAGACGCGACGACGACGCAGTGGACGCCGTGGCGCCTGAGCGTAAATGACCCCATCGACCCTTTAAATCAGTAGCATCTAGCCCGTTATTGTTATGATATTGTCGATTATTGCTAATACTGCTTGCAATAGATCTGACGTCGTCGTCGTCTTCGATATCGCGGTCGAGACCAGAACTCACTGTTCTTGCTGTTGTAGATCGGCTCGCACTGCGAGATGATAAGGCACTTTTCGGGCGGATCAACGAGCTCGTGACAGCTTTATCAACAACAGACCTACGAGAGTACATGACGTCGGTACTTGACGACGTCATACACTTGTCCATCTCTAGCTTTTCATTCTGCTTTTCTACTTCAACCATTGCTTTTTTCGTTTCTATCTCCTCCTGATGTCTAGTAATAGACGCTGTCTTCACTCCTTGTGTCTCTGAACTCGAAGAATCTTTCACTTCAATCACGCGACTCTCGACATCGTCTTCAGGTCCAAAACTCGCTGTCTTTTCAAGCTTCTCCACCGATTCTTTCCTGACAGAATCATCCATTTCTTGCTCTTGACTGTTTTCATTCCCTTTTACCACATGAACTCCGACATTGAATGTTGCTTCATCTTCCGACACAGCAAGTGGTGAAGCTAAGCCATACTTTTGAATTAAATGCACTTCGGTTTGAATCAAAGATTTTAAGTGAGCAAGTGGAAAATCATGCGAATCAAACTCAAAGTCAAACGTTTTATCCACACGATAAACAGGAGGTTCACCCAGTTGTGTCCGAATAGTCTTAAAGTATGAATGGGTCAGTGCCTGCTTTGCCGAGATCCGTTGTGCTGGATTGACGCATAGCAGTTGTCTAAGTAAGTCAATAGCATCAGGTGATGCTTTTCGAAAAGTTTTAGCAAATGCTGACGGTGAGCAAGGTGGTAAACTCTCTAGATATGCTAACGCATCACCTTCAACATCATAGCCACGTTGATCACGAGAAGGCACGGGCACGACGCTAAAGACTCGTGAAAGTTGATCCAAAAAATCCGTTCCTGGAAATAGCGGTCGACGATTAAGCAATTCACCAAAAATGCAGCCAATGGACCACATATCCACTGCTTCGTTATAGACGCCAGTAGGTGCAAGCATAATTTCAGGTGGTCGATACCAACGCGTCACGACGTACTCAGTCATAAGCGCTTGTGTTTTTTCGACTTTACGACGAGAAAACCCACCATCTTGCTCACTTGATCGTGTGCTGTGAGGTACATACCGCGATAAGCCAAAATCTGTGATTTTCACATCACAATGTTTGCTCACAAGAATATTTCCGGGCTTAAGATCTCGATGTAATACACCATTCTCATGCAATGTATGAGCACCAGAAAGAAGTTGGTACATGATTGCAGCAATATGAGCGTCTTCGAGCTTTGTTTTGCTCTGTATTAAACGGTGCAGATCGGTATCTACTAACTCCATCATCAAATAAAGTTCATCTTTCTCCATACAAGTGCTTAAATTCTGTAGCGATGCAATATTTGGATGTTTGCCAAAGTATCGCATCAAACGAATTTCACGCAAAGTATGCTTTGCATCCCATTCATCTCCAGCCATCGGTGTAATTTTCTTGATCGCAACGTTCAGTTTTGTCTCAGAATCCGTCGCAGCACACACGATACCATACGAACCTTCACCCAATACTTGCAGTGGATGGTATTTTGATGGAACATTAAAATCACAACCTTTCAGACTAAAGCCTGAACCAGAACGACAGTCATACTCCAGAACAAAAGGTGATTCATTATTGCTTTTTGTGACCGATTGCTCCACTTTTTCAGGCTGAAGTTCCTTTCCATGATCTTCAAATTGCTGTTTGGTTAGGCAAGGATTAAACGATCGGACTTCATCACAAATATATTCACGTAATGTTGTGAGTGGAAGTGACTGCGTATCAAAAGCAAATTCAAGTGAATGCGGTAAATTCAGAGACGCAATTTCTCCCCATTCGTCTTGAACTCCTTTGAAAAACGGATGAATCAATGCATTGGTTGCTGAAATGCGTTCTTTTGGATTAAAGCACAATAATTGACGAAGAAGATCTAAAGCGTGAGCACTGATTTTGTCACCCAATTTCGTTTCCAATGCACCCGAAAGTGGAACAGGAAGCGACGAAAGAAACTTAAGTGCATCTTTTTCAATTACATATCCACGATCTTCAGGTTCCGGGACTGGTAGGACTTGAAATACACGCGTTAATTGATCCATAAAGTCTGTACCTGGAAACAAAGGTCGGCGTGATACTAATTCGCCAAGAATACAACCAACTGACCACATATCAATGGCTCCGTCGTAAGAACCATTGGGTGCTAGCATAAGTTCTGGTGGTCGATACCATCTCGTAACTACGTACTCAGTCATCATCGACACTTCGTCGCTTGCAAGTTGTTGTGATCCATTTTTTGGCATCATGCGAGCAAGACCAAAGTCCGTAATCTTGAGTTCACAATCTTTGTTCAGTAATAGATTGCCTGGTTTTAAGTCACGATGAAGAACGCCATTATCGTGCATAGCTTTAACGCCTGAAAGAACCTGATACATGATAACTCGAATATGCCCTTCTGTCAAAGGACACGAGCTCTGAATTAAACGATGCAAGTCCGTATCCGCCAACTCCATCATCATGTATAATTCATCTTTATCCTTGCACATGCTCAAGTCTTTCAATGAAATGATCTGAATACAACACACAATTAGAACATTAGCGTACAATCATCCAAAACGGGAGAGTACACACATTTTCATGCGCGCCAAGACAACGCATAAGACGAATTTCTCGAAGAGTGTGCGTAGCATCCCATTCATCACCAGCCATCGGTGTGATTTTTTTAATCGCTAGCTTTTCATTCGTCTCGGTATTGCGAACAGAACATACAACACCGTATGATCCATGACCAATAGCATCAATTGGATGATACTTGGGATCGACGTTAAAGCTACAGCCGTTTATAATGAATCCGTGATCATTGACCACCGGTACGTTCCTGTCATCTCTCCCCATCTTTATGTAAGAGTAGACAACTAAAGACAAGAACCAAACTTTGCTAAACCCACTCAAATGATGTTGTGGGACGATGCAGACGTTGCGACTTATTATGTTTTAAGGCCAATTTTAGTGTTTTCTGACCGCTAGCATCTTTCATGATGCATGCGATGATGCTTTCGCTGTACGAGCATTGAATCACCTACATCGCGTTATATTCAGCTCAGTTCCAAATGAGAACGAGACCGAAATAACGTGAAACCAACTGCGAAAAGTAGGATCCGATTCGAGCTTTGATACGAGCAAACAAGTGTTACGAAGGGATTATTGGGTTAGATGGGAGGAACAGCACAAGCTACAACGTAGTACTTCGATTTTTTCAGGAATATTGCCGAACTCGACGAATGGCTCTATTTGTTTTTCGAACAGACACTTTGTTGAGCCAATTGCTACGCCAGTTTCTTGGGTTCTGTTTTTAAGTTCGACAAAGTACTGACATGCATATTGTAGCGTTTACTCCATTCTCTGTAACAACGACAATCTTTCTTGCGTCCCTTCATAAGCAAACTAACGAATTCAGGTCTTGACTTTATCATTTCTCGAATGGAATTGTCAACTTTAATGCTAAGGTCAAGTCTTTTCGTTGTATGGATAACTACTTCCCTAGGAATTGCTGAACGTGTCACAATATGTGACGATAATGGGCCTCTGATGTGCTCAATGTTTCTACCTACCAACTATCAGTGTGGCAACAATGGAGTCTGGGCACTTCAAATGGGCTGCTATCTGTGTGTCGATCCAACAACTTGTATCGCTATCGACTCGACTCTATTATCAAATGAAAAAGCACAAACACAGACTCATAGCAACGAGATTCATGCCGAAAGTCTGAAAGGAACGATAGATGAAGTCTCTCGTTCGTTAACAGATGCAAACTTTGCATTGGCTGAGATGGCGCGACATCCAGAAGTGTTTAATTGGTTATTTGCTATTCCTGTGTGTTTGGTAACTGTGTCGCTGCTTTTAGTCGTTCGCGCACATCCTTCACCACTTTCTGAAGTACAAAGGAAGGAAGAGGTTGCGTTCACAGCGACTTCCTTTTCTGATTTGAATCTTGAAAGGAACGATAATGTTGAGATTGAGATCGCTAATAACTACCAAAACAATGTTTGCGTTGGTGATAGTGAGGAAGCTCAGCCTCTCTTGTCTGAAGCAAAGCAAGCGGACAATTATGAAGCAATTGAATCGAATTTTTTATTGCACGTTTAGAGATTCGGCGAACAAATAAAGACGTGAAAAGTACTGAGTTGATTTAGATTTCATCTTGTTTTCTTTCGTAAACGACCGTACCATCTCTCTTTATAACTTTCAGAAAATATTGTCGACTAATACATCCCGTTTCACCCATCCCAGGACTTAACAGTACATTGTTGCTGGACTTGTAGAACTTAATTCCATCGATCACTGCTTTCGAAAAGTCAATGTACACTAACAAATTACAATTCGACCTCATTCCACTCACAACTTGATCATCAACGACTTCGTTCTCAGCAAAGTGAATGTGATTTCTCTGCATTTTACACAACCCCAAATTCCAAATGCTCTCCCAGTTCTTAAGATACGTTCCATGAACACACTTTTGTACGGCATATGGATCTTCGATCGGAGTCAAGAGATCTTTGTCCTGCACTAATTGGAGTGTGTGTCCTTGATTAGCACGAATGAATTTCACGGTTCCAGACTCGTCTGTTGTGATTGCAAATCGTTTCTTACCGTTCGTACGTACAACATCTTCCACTTGTTGTTCCGTGAAGGACTGGAATAGTGGAAGTGACAACAATTCGGTTAATGATACATACCCTGACGGTCTCATGTTCAAGTGAAGCTTCTGAGCACCATGACGCAATGCATAAGCCAATGCCTTTGACAATCGCACCTCAGGTGGATCATCCCTTCGTCCAGAAGGTCGAGATTGAGCTCGATAATTACGCTGCATAACAAGTTGAGTTTGTATCTATTTCTCAAGAATTTATTTTAATTTCTATTTACCACATAAATAAAATGGTGCGTTGTATGTTAAGATGTATGTACGAGAGTAGCTGATGATGAACGAGCATTGTGAATGAAAAGGATAGTAAGCTACCAATTCAATTCTTGCGCAAGCTCTTTTTGGATATCGTGGACGACGACTGGATCAAAGATACGTTGTCGGACGATGGTATGGTGTCTTTAATGACATATGTAACATGGAATAAGCTAAAAACTCTAACATTCCAGAAATTGAGATACCACTTGCTCTTGATGTCGATTTGAATGGCAGCGAAAGTCCTACTGGTTAGTCGCTTAATCAATGTTTCATGAGATTACATTATTAATGTAAAGAGGATGCAGGAGAGCCATCAATGTGGACTGCGGAGGAGAAAAAAGATCGCTGGAATGATCTGGGCTTAGATGAATGGGTGAATATGGCTTGACTCAATGACTTTATATTACTTTGCATTAAGTAGAAAATCAAGTGCATCTCCTTCAAGGACATTTTGAGAGGCTTTAAATGATCGAGAGAATGAAACGTTCTGCAAGATTTCATAAACTTCCTCAAACGTAGGTCGACAATTTGGCTCGCCATCCCAACATCGCTTCATTAAGTCCTGTAAGACAATAAACACACTTAACAAGGCTACAAAGTGTTGTCGATGAGATAGCTTTATATCACTTACTTGACATTCACGCGGGCAATCTAAAGTCGGAACTCGAAAGCGCTCACCAGCTATAACATGTCGCTTGATGTCTACGATGTCATATCCTCGAAATGGAATGTCACGACTGAAAATCTACCATCGAAAGAGCAATAAGAAAATGCCTGTCTTACAGATATTTGACGCACTCACCTCATACAAAAGTATGCCAAACATATAGACATCCACTGATTTGGAAAATGATTGACCCATTAAAAGCTCTGGAGGCATATAGCTAGGTGTTCCAGCATTTGTACATTTTGTCCTACATTCAACGGCAATACACTGCGATTAGTTTATACGCAAGCACTAGAAAGTAAGCAGCTAACCGAACGAGACCAAAGTCACACAACTTCATTACCCCTTTGAAATCCAGCAGAACATTTGCACTCTTAAGATCACTAAGCATCCACAAAACATCAAGTATTTTTCCGTAATTACAAAGAAGTATAACGCACCGATGAATAACTGCAGGCTTTCTTGAGTGTAAATATCGCATACCGTTCGCAATATCGCTCTGAAGATCAAGTTTCAATGAGTCATTCAATGGAAACCATCAGGTCAATTATCCTTTCTGATTACACTCACAGCAATTCGGGTCATTTGTTGCGAGCTTAGATACGTGTTGGTTCCATGAAGCAAATGATGAAGTGAGAAGTCACATAATTCCATCACCATACAGAGTTTGGGCGGCTCTAAACATGCTCCGATCAAGTTGACAACGTTCGGATGTTTCAATTTGCTAAACCAATCGTTTTCACGAGTCCTTAATCAGATCAAAGCAAGTAGAGATAGATTTCAGATTTAAACACACCTCATAACAAGCAGTTCATCCATAAATTCTTGCTTTAGTACGTCATCCACACGCGGATCAAACTAACATATGATTAGTTCACACTTACAGTATTAGCTACCACACATCCGTACGAGTATTTTTAAAGCAACTGAGTTGTTGTGGTAGATTCCACGATGCACTAAAGCGACGCCACCTCCACCAATAACCTCGCATATGGTAAGCTCCTTAAAGTCAATACATTCCCAGCACGGAGCACTGTTGATGTCGTCGCTGTCCATCGTATTCCTTGAGTCAAAGAAGCCGACGTTTCAAACATAGTATATCCATGTAACATTTCCTCAACGGACTAGTTTATTTTGAGCAAACATTACCACAAGACTGTAAAATACAAGAGAATAAATGGCGTTGAGCACAACCTCTGCTCTTTATCCTTTCATCGTCGACTATATAGTTTTTCAGTTGAGTTGCCTTGACGTGATGAGCGTGTATGCTTAAGAAGCAGTGATGCTTGAGTCGTACTTGGAGTGACCAATGACCTATCAAAAACAACATTGTCATTAAGTTAATTCAATTATCGAGCTCATGTACACTTATAAAGACCATACTTGATGTATGGTTCCAGTTGCTTGATTGTCCACTTTTCTTGTGCTTGAAAGAGCTGCTCAAATCGCTTTTTTGGTTCAGGAGACAACAAATTTTCAGGAAAGTATACGATTCTTGTCTGTGTGCCTGCCTTTTGAGGCTTCAGCAGCACAAGACCACTAAGCATGTCTAAATTGACAGTAACACTGTCGGGTACCAAAAACTTCCATTTTGTCATGAACGTATCAAGTTCCCACCCAGCGTCCAGTGGATTGAAAGCTACATTCTGGTTTCGCGTCAAAAATTGAGCTTCAGCTTTCTGTTCTTCAAACAACGACTTTGCTCGAAACATGGCAATTTTGGTAGCATCAAGCAAGCAGTAATCCTCTCCATTTACTACATTGATTGTCCCATACACTTGACAGCATTGACGAATCGCAATAAGCGGCTCATCTAATAGATTAAGAAATTTCGTCACTGGAATTCCAGGCTCTTTCAACCCATTCCAGTCGTGTTGTACAATTGCGTCGAGCATATCAGTAAATATCTGCGTCTGATATTTTGGTTCAAGTAAACGCCAAGCACCAGCGTCTTCAAATGCTTGCAATTCAATTAACATTCCTACCACCTCTTGCTCGCTGGTTTGTAAAGTCGATACTAAGTCTTGAGTTGAATACATTTTGCTCACTTTTGCTCGTTTTGCTTGGATTAAATCTTGCTTAACTTTTTCATACGGAGCTTCTAGCAATAATGATCGTAGTGTTGTTAAGTCAGGAACCTTTTCTTCAAGCTATAAATTGCAAGAAAGTCAAGTTATTGATCAGTCGATAGCTTGTCAACTTTCAAAAAGCATACTGTGTAATGATAACGAGCAGCTCCAGGCACTTGAATAATGCGCTTCTCTGTCAATTTCTCAGGCTCACTCCAATCTGTATAAGTTGTGAGAAGACGCAAATTCGACGTATCTTCTTTCTTCATGTAAAAGGACTTGCTCTCCGTACACAATACTGCTCGAGCATCCGGTGCACCAACAATAAACACTCTAACATAGAATATTAGTCAATTACGGTAGCAATAAGTTATTGTACATCAAGTCCGTACGTGCTGCCAGTGGTGATCGCATGCTCAATCTCAGGGTTTAGCTGCAGTAACTTGTAATTGTTTTCATCAAAGTCGGCAGCCGTCACGATCAGTGAGTCCATTTACGATTGATTATATTAGTTAAGTTCGATAGTTATGTAATTTTTGATGATAATATTATAGTAATCTACAGTTTACTAAGATTTCGACAATAACTTCTAGTCTATCAACTAGATCTTGTCGAATCACATCGTCAACAAGATCACATGTGGTTGGCTGAGCAAGCACTTGCTTTAGTTTTAGCAAAGAAGGTAGCATTTTAAGCTCTAATAGCTGAGGAGCAGCACTTTCAAGTTGATCACTTAGTACACTTAGTAAAGTGATAACCAATTTTAGCACTTCGGCATACTCAAATGCATCGAAGAAACTTGGACATCGTGAGGAATTAATATCATCGACAGCTGTAGTTGAAATTGGTTCGAGAAGCTTGACGACCAAGTCTTTAAACATAAGCAGCACATTCTCTAAATGATCCACGAACGCGTCAACACGCCGCTGACTGAAATTAAGCAATAGTACAAGTGCATAGACTCTGAAGTTTGAAGCCTCTTCAGACGATGCTAGCGCTGATGTTGACAGTCTTGATTCTTCTCCATCATTCTCAGTGCCCAATGACAACTGCACATTGCGATGTAGATATTTGACAACAGTAGGTAGCAATTGCAAAATAGACGTTAACATTGCTTCATCAGCAATGACTACCATCCATCCAAGAACGTAGAAGGCGTCTCCTTGCACCCACTGGTTCTTTCTTGTAGCCATTTTTGTTAAGCTCTTGAGCATCTGCTCTCCATATTGATCCAACAGTTGTTGGCCTGCTACCCTGGAAATACACAAGGATCCTACGGCCATTGCAGCTTTGCACTTAATCTGTATGTCACGTGCGCTCAGTGCTGTGATTAGATTGTGAAAATACGAAGGGTGGTTATTCTCTGTAGTTTCGACACTAAAAACGATCAGTAGGCGGCGAATTTCCATACTCACACTATCAAGAGGAAGTGCTGCAATATCTGTGAGTGCTTCCACAAACTTCTGTTTCTCCTTTCCTTCTACACCATAGATTGGATTCCACTGCAGACACTGATGTAGTTGCTTGGCGTACGCATCCAACATCGAAATTAGTTGTTGGTGTGGTCTACATAATGTCGAAGAAAGTATAATCCAAAAAATTCGACAAAGACTGTATACTTCTCAGTCAAAAAAACTTGTTTTTCTGAGCCAGTCCTGGCGTGATGTCACCACATGGAAGCCAGACTTTTTAGCTGTATGGTGTACGACATGAAGGATCTGCAGAAGTTGACAGAGAGTATTGTGGTGGTGGCACAGAGTGAAAAGCTATTTGGACTAGCTAGTAGTCACTGAAGAAATTATTTCTTGATACTGACAGACTATACCTGAATAGCTGACAAAGTCATGAGCGCAGAAGTGTATGCACAGACGTCTCGAAACTTCACAATTGGGTTCATCATTTGACCTTAAGTGGACATACCGCGTTTAATTAAACATTGATCGATGCACTAAATGCAGTCACTTTGACGCAGATGAAAGCATACAACATGTGTTGATTTGCGACAGCAAATACAATACAATGATGACATGCAAATCTTGCCATGCAATGCAGTAGTGTGTCTTGCTCAGAATCTTGCTCACTTCGATATCATATGAGCTGATTTATAGTCTGATCCAGAAGACTATAGACAATGGCATTATACACGACGGGTTTCGATAACACAAAAGTAGTGTCTTGAACTTTCAGTTGAGTGCCACAAGGTTGATGTGGCTTCGAATTTATGACGCTAGTGTCCAGGACATCACTTCACCACCAGATCGATAGCTTGATTGTGGACCTTCGTCTTGATGGCTGCTTTGATCAACTAGCTTCTTTTGAAGCATATCCGAACTTCAGACGTATGTGATATCTGAGATTTTTGTTGCGTTTGTATGGCCCACAATGGATACGCTAAACTTTTTGGCGAAAAAATCGCGGAAAACCTGAAGACATTTGTTGACTTCAGCAACATTAATCCGGCGACTTGAAAGCTAGTTTGCGTATGAATGCAGTCTGCAAGCCGTGTAATAGCCTTTGTCTTGATACTTAGGAACCAACCTGCATATGAGTATTGTGGATAGATGCGACAATGCACACATACGAGAGAAAAAAATCTATTCAAACGACGCAATTCTTGCCTTACTTTTTGAAGCGAATTAGCTTTTTGAAAACCCCCTTCAATTTATTCTTGACTAGCTGTGTGGCCTGGTAGAAATACCAATTCCTAAAACTTTTATTTAGTCCTGTCGAACCAAGAATTGGTATTCGATGGAAATTCATCGGAGTGGCTCCAAATAGGTAGAAGAAAAAGAAAACGATGTTTTTTAGAATCGACGGCGATTGGCTTCGTTCTTCAGCCAAACTGTCATTATCATGATTATTTATCGCGATGGCACGTTCTTCTGCTTTAGGAGAATTTTTGTGGAGACCTGAGGGGAGCATGCGCACCGAATGGGCTGAGTCGATCGGCATTTTGTTGGCAGGAGCGAAATTCTTAGCGGTTATGACATCCACGACAGCGATAAAGACTCCGACGACTGCGATAATACCCAGCACGAGGCCTTTTCGCATCGAACTTAATTTGCCTCCGACCGATGAAAGTTTATGAATGTGAGGAGATATATACAGATCCGAGCAAGAGAAATCGCGACACAACATCATCTGGTCACCATCTGATCATAAAAGGCTTATCAAAGAATTGCCAATCAACACCGATGACGCTTCCTAATACTTGAAATACGCATGCAATCGTTTTCAATTTACGGGAAACAACACGCTAGTCTTACTTTCGTGAGCTCTTACAACCACCGCACATTTATTTACAACCACTTTGTCCAAACTTAACGGCTTTCATGATCTCAAACATGTGGTTAGCTCTGGGTAGGGCAGGTTGAGCCAGAGAGTAAAGATACAGTATCGCTCAACTGGACAATGAAGAGGGTACTACAAGTGAAATGTGAAGAACATAGCATGCTTTGAAGTCGGCAAAGCATGTGACAAAATTATAATGAACATGAGGTTTCTTTGCATAGTTTGAATGAAACTAAAATCACAGGACTAGTCTGAGATTCCGTGCAAACCTAATACTAACGACTTTTTTCTGGATTAGCATGATTGATTTGTTGGAAAAAAAAATATCGAAATTAAAAATTTATCGATGTTTCGTTATCTTCGTCCTAACGATGCCAAACTACTTTGCTGTAAGTAAAAACAAAGGATGTACACGTACATTGACATCTACACACCGTAAGAAACCCTTTTCTTTGACATCAATCGATTACCACTTCGTTTACTTGATAAACACAAGTACAGTCTATGCATCATAAAGCTCCAAAAATCGTCCTTTAAAGTATTGAGCGAACTTCAGAGATAACTAGGTGTTGTATACAAAAGAGCTGATTATTAAGGACGACATATTGTCTATGTTGATGCAATTCACGAACAATAGATCGATCCGGTCAACGAGATAAAGAGCTGCAGTTCAATGGCAAACGTCTGCGGCGATTCAATCACAACAAGTGGTAGGTACAATGAGCTGAGATCAGGTATACTATATAAATTTCTGTTTCAAAAACCCTTAACGCACTTCAAAAACTAGGGCAGAAAAGTCATCTACTTCTTATCTTGAGATGAGTAGGAAGTTCAGAAAAGTGACATAAATATCTCAGTATAATGTTTCAAGACGTTGAATCAGTCTGGACGTATAGGCTCATATAAGATTCAATACTGAATACAAGTTTTACAGATTCAGGACTTGCCATCGAAAATTGTGACGGGTACATACTATATTGCAGTGTACGTACACTGTACACAAATGCCCTCCGACCCTACGTCTGGTAATGTTTGATGAGGCATCATGACATAAACTGCTCTGGAAAGATGAGGTCCGTGGAATGCGTTGACTGCAAGCTTCAAGCTATGCGGAGCATAGCGTTTTATTATTAATGGTATTTGTTGAGACTGGATTCATTCTAGACGAAGTGGCAAAGTAGATGCACTTTAATTTTGAGTTACGCATTTTGAAATTATGATTAAAATAATAATGTATATTTAAACTTTTGTGTTCAATAGAAGAATTTATGTATTGCATGAACAGCACACATACCCCACGACCACTCTTTCACTGACACCTCACTTTAGTGCTTCTAAGTCTTGTGATATGTACGTGCACAATAGTGCCCACACCAAGCTGTAAAGTGCTCAACAAGCACACTGCACCTGAAGTTTCTCCTTCTTGCACTTCACAGAGCGCCCTCTTCTGGGCGTACACTTACCTATAGTTAATTCCAGTCATACCCTTATATGGCTCAACGCGCTACTAAGAAAGGCACATTCGCATGGCCCACAACCTTCAGGTCTCTAGGTCGTCATCAATAAGGTTCTCGATGAGAGCAGTTGCAGCAACTCATATCGCAAGTGGCTCTTACAAGGCAAGACACAAACACTATACACGCTCATGCCTATCGACAGCAGCTTAGAGGAAACTATAACCTGCTGCATAGACTAAACGTCACAAACGACATAAAATGGCCGATCTGGCTTTAGATGAGCTCGAAGTTGGGCACGCTCGAGGCTTTCTTCACAGCCTCGAAGGACACTCTTGCCGCTATCCCAACAGTTTATCATCTTTTGGTGAGGCCATGTCGGCATGATTTACACTTGAGTACTTGTCCAGGCCAAGGCAATGGTGTTTGAACCACGAAGCAGGTTATTCTGCAATGACATTTATCTTCGCGGGATCTGTCCGCAGTCCACGCTTCTGAATGAAGCAGAAATTTCGTCGACGCCAAAAAAAAATCTTTACATTGACAATAATTGTTCAAACGGAATCCTTGAGCTCAGCTATGGACGATTCAGTAGTCGAAATATGCTTGTGCATAACCAGAATGCGGTCTGGGCAGCTGCGTCGATAGGTCGCCGATGCAAAGAAATTTCTTATGACATGGCCAGCCACACCCAGAGGATCCTGCTTGGAGAACTCACCGCAAAGAGAGGGAATGGCTGTACCTAATGTGCAGTTGATCACATCCACCGACTGGGTCACGAGCACTAAGCATAGCGAACCCGACCATGCTGTTCCGCATAACATTCTTTTTTAGGAATCGGTGTTTGCGCCATAGCTGTGGCTACATTTAGCTTACTATAAGCATGCACAATTATTGCTAGTCGTTCTGAAGCAATCGGCGCAACGGTGGAAAAAATGCATTCTTCTGATGATATTCGCTCAGTACTTCGCACAAGAAAGGGCCAATCGCGTTACTGTTACCTTGATAAGGGTCTTGCCGTGCGACATATTATTTCACTCAGGGAACAAATCAACATACTACCCAATCCGGTGCATCACGAATACTGGGTCGTCTGTCACCGCGTTGTGGCCATGACATACTGTCGTGCTTTTTGCCCCAATATGAGACACCGCATTCTGTCTCCGTCGAAATTTCCTATTATTGCAGCTTGTATTGTTATTACTGCTTTCAGATATGTAGCTCTGTTAATGTCAGTCCAATACCCGTTAGAAGTATATTGTCGATGGTTTCAATCAAAAAATTCTGTTTCTTAGGAACGATATCTACTGGCGTCGTTTTTTTGCAAATATTGAGGATTTTCAAGATTGACTTGGATAGACAGATTCGGAACACTGATACAGAAGCATAATATGTATATAACTTTCTAGTCCATCACGAACCAGGACAAGCTTTCCTTCAATCACACTTTAGAAACTCTGCTTATAGATGGCGTTACGTCTCGACACTTTCCAACTTGCCTTTTTCACATCACGCTGGATCAATTTGTATGAATATGCAGTGGCTTTTTGTTATGATACTTAGTGCATTTGCAATTGTGAACGTCATGACGGAAACTACGCGTCAGCTAGTGGGACTTCTTGTTGGAGCGGGTTGCCAATTTTCTGACTACTCGGCTTTACCCAGAGCAACCGATACAGAGCCTTCCTACCGTCTGGAATTAGATCCTGGACTCGGAAAGGGTATTTACATGGTAAAATTCTCGTACTTTAATCTTCCCGAAGAAGATGTGCTGATATTGCGAGCATCTGATGCCACAAAAACATTAACACCCATTGCAGCTTTGTCGGGAAAGAACGCGACAGGCAAATTCTTCTCGACTGGAATTGTTGGAACTGGCATTGTGCTCGAGCTTGTAAAAGCTACAACTTCTATCAATTCGACATCATGCAGAGGATTTACAGTAAGCGAGCTACTTTATTTTCCGTTCAAACTAGTGGCAGATGCTCACGTGGAGCTTGAAATGACTCTAAAACGAGCATCTGATGGGACAAAGTCAATTGGCAATGACAACGACGAGAGTGTATGCGGTTCCGATGAATCAGTTGAGGCTGCTTGTGCCATTGTTTCTGATAAAAAGGAAGAAGGAGCAACTATGTTGGCTAAAGCCCGATCTGTAGCTCGTTTATCAATCATCAAAGAGAATGGCATGCAAATTGCTTATTGTACTGGTTGGTTAATAGGCTGCGAGGGACACTTAATCACGAACGAGCATTGTATCAGCAATAGTCAAGATGCGCTTAATACCAAAGTTGAATTTTTGGCTGAATCTTCGACCTGTAGTATCAAAGAGAGTTGTGAAACTCGTGGTGGATGTCCCGGACCTGTTGATGTGGCAGGCACGACACTTGTAGCAGTGTCGGAAGATTTGGATTATGCACTTGTCCGACTTGGCATTAACGATACGAATGCAGATTTCTTAAGACTGTACAATAAGACTGGATTTCTGCAATTTCGTGGCTCAAAAGCAAAGATGAATGAAAGTATTTACATTCCACATCATCCATTAGGCTTTGGTAAGCGTATATCGTGGCTTTATAATGGCCAACCCGGTCGTGTCGAGTCGCTAACTGTGACAAAATGCCGCAAAGATGATATCGGCTACTACATTGATACTCAAGAAGGTACATCAGGCTCGCCGATTATTGCGAAAAAAGACAATGATGTCATTGCGTTGCACCATTGTGGAGGCTGTTTGAATGGTGGAATTCCTGCTCCGTTAATTATCAAAGACCTGATTAAAAAAAAATTGCTGCCGAAGTGTGCCGTCGCGGGGCATAACAAAACTACTAAAACATCTTAGACAATTTACCTTAGATTCAATAGACTCACTATTTAGCAAAATTTTGGTAGTTACAAATTAGCACAGACATTATCATCGAAGTCTGTCGAGGCTGCGATTTCAGCCCACTCATCAAATTCGTGAATACTCTCGACCAAGACTTTCTTTCCAATTGCGACAGCGTCTTTACCCAGCAGCAAACGACGTGGGATAGTCTTGTTTAAACAGCGTCCGCTTTTCGTAAGCATCTCGACAATGACTTGCGCCCCCTTGGCTGGGTCACCAGGCTGCATAGCTTCTGGGATTTTCAAACTCACGTTTTTAATGCGGGCGTGCATAGGTTTCGTAAGCGGAAGATAATCTGGAATAGAGGTTTTCATAGCTACAAATCCTTTTCCCAACATGGCAGTGCGAAATGATCCTGGCTCAATGATGGTAACGTCAATGCCAAAAGGCTCGAGTTCTGCTTGCAGAGCCAGCGTCAATCCAGCCAAAGCAAACTTGGTGGAGCCATACACACCCATTCCTTTAAGACCGAACCAGCCACTTGCCGAACCGATGTTCGCAATCACTCCCGATCGCTTTTCGCGCATATGTGGCAGCACAGCACGCAGCATCCGCATCACTCCAAAAACATTCGTGTTAAACTGACTATAAGCTTCTTCTTCTGTGCACTCTTCAATTGCACCGCCAAGTAGAAATGCTGCATTGTTGACGAGAATATCGATAGTGCCGTAGATACTTAAAGCCTTGTCAATTACTTTCGAAAGCTCCGTTTCACTCGCTGTGACATCCAAAGCAAGGGGAAAAGCACCTTGCGCTATGACATCATGAAGTTTGGTCGGATCTCGAGCAGTCGCAATGACATGATCTCCACGTGCAAGCGCCGCAAGGACAATCTCCTTGTCGAAACCGGACGAGCAAGCAGTCACAAGCCACACTTTGGGAAAATCGGTCATGATGAGATTGCAAAATGCCTTCCACACACCGAAACTCGTAGATAGTGAGCTTTGAAGAGATTAATGGAGAGCACTTAATTGCATCGTCAAATTGCTGTTTCGGTTGATTTCTGAGATGTGGTGGTACAACTGTCCCATCTGGTATACGTGCGAACTCGAGAACTCTTAGCGAGAATCTACGTTTATCTTCCTTGCGTCTTTGGCTGCTGCTTTATGAATTTGAGGGTTTTCCAGGTGATAGGATAGTCAGCTTCATTAAGAAGGGATTTGTTGATTGTGACATAATTAAGGACAGGAAGTCTGTCCAACTCTGGCGTGAGCAGTATCTTCTTCACAAATCCAAGACCACTTTTTTTAGATTTGATGGAAGATCCGTGGACCTCAAACTTCGATAAAGTACAAGTCTCCAACTCTGTGAAGGCAAGTCAGTGGGTGTATTCTCTGGTGATTGTCGGGAATCTTTTCTAGCAATGTTCTTTCAATATGCTAAACTAAATCGTAGTAAACTATTGATGACATAGCGATACGATACTCATGCACCAGAAAACTGTTTTAACAAGTTAAGTTGAATCTATTAATTGCAGTCCTTCGCAATGTCCAAGAGACCTCTCAGTACGTCTTGACCTCGTCATCGTCCAGAACGTGAACTTTGTTTTCCAAACTCATTCAGTCAAGACGATATGACCTCTTCACTATCAGTCCATTACGCAGAGTATGTATTTTGACGCAGCACATATTTCTTGAAAACGTGGATCGGCTAGCTTGGACTATACAATTATACAAATTTTTACGGCTGAACGAAACTTACATAGAAGCGTCACGGCTCTGATTTCCGCTCCTTACAGAAATGCATCAACCCAACCTAAGCTTCATCTGTGCAAAGTGGACGGCGATCCCATTGCACTTGATTGCACTTGAAGTCAATCCCACGACCGAGTCGCATGAAAACTGTATTCTTTGCTAGGATGAACATAATGTATTCGAGTTCTTGTCTCTAGAACATATAATCAGTTCAGCAAGCTTTTGTCTATCGCGGGACCCATGGGATCTAGGAATTGGCGGCCAAAAAATGGAAGCATTAGTCGTTTGCCGAAGGCGCTCAAAAGCTTTGAAAAATCACGATCAGAAACGCCCCATCTGGGCACCGTTTGAGGAAGAAATGGCTTCAAGGCTAATACCACAAATGTCGATCGCACCGGCATTGAAGACCGGGACAAAAAAAGCTCTCTTTTTGAGTGAGGGGGTTGAAATGGCCATTAATTCAATCTTGCTCCAAACGGAGCCACAGTGCGTAGCGCTTGCGCAAAAGAGTCGGCTTCACCTTTAAAAATACAAGCAACAGATGCCGTAGGTGTTCGCACCGCATAATCAAGCGTATCAGGTGCTTTCATTATCATTGAAAGCGGCAACAAAGATCATTCTGATGGATGGTCTCTAAATGGATGCGGCTCGCACCGAAGTTTTTCCCGCCTCCTATCTCTTTGGAGGAAGCGCTGAGCATCACATTTAATGTACAGCACAACTTCCGTAATGTGAGGGCAGGATGGGGTACCGAAAATGTCAGCCCCGCAAACCCACCAGGGCAATATACCTTCGTCGTACTAAGGAAAAGAGGGATCTTTTAGTTGCTGAGAACCCCAATATATTTGTAATAGTGGAGATAAGTCATCTGCGATTTGTGTGCTCCTTTTCTCTGGGCTGCTTGGATAGATGGTTTGGCATTTCATGATAGAACGGACTGCGATCCTCTAATGGGAAATGGCAAGTCCGAGTAAGAAAAAGGTGGCTTAATAGCAAGGATTATGGCTCTATTGTACCTTGAAACGGACGTGGTGAATCAGGTCCAGCCCTAAAAGAATCAGTCCTCTTCAAAAGAGGTGGACTTGTAACACAGGGCTGTTAATTGCTAACATCAACTCTCCGGGCTTCTGGAAGCCGTGGAGAGTCGTGATAAGTCGTGATCGATTCAGAAGAGTCGTGCGATTTCGTACTTAGCGACTGTCTGAAATAGTAGATAGTACACAGATGCGTTGAAGATTCCAAGTACGGATACTCCGACGTCCTGCGATGAAACGCATGTAAAAGTCTCGAAAGTTTCGCTGACTCTTCGACAAAAAGGTTGATTTGACATGAGATACGATTTCAATCTAGGCATGGCCTGACCGGAACGCCACGAGCTATGGTTCGACTGGAAGCCGAAAATGTTAACTGCTACGCACCTTCCTCCTGTTGAAGCTTTGATGAGTCAAAAATCCAAATCAGACAGGAAACAGAAGCGCTTTTGGCGCGGGAACTGAGTTGTGATAGCTTCCGTGCAGGAGATTTTTTTGTCCAAATCGATACCAATGGAATTGATAGGTGCTTAGCAGACCTTGAAAACAGAAGCTGCAGAAAGCCGACGTCTCAGGATAGGACAGTAAACCAAGTATATATCGCGGTCTCCACTGTGTAATTCTGTTAAGAAAAGAAATGACATATGTATGTCTGAGGGCCATCGTATACCTTAGTCGGGACGAAAAAAAGCTAGCAGCTGCTATCTGCTGTGTGGGGGCCGGTGAAAAGTGGTAGCGATCGGTTGTGGTAACGTTTAGTGCTTAAACCCGGTTTGGTTGAAAAATGACCTTCAATCTGGACCCTGAAAAAAAGAATAATGTTCGTCTTTCTCACGATGTGATGGTACTACTCAGTCAGCAGAGTAGCGGATAGTATATGGCGAGAGAGATTATCCACTCCTGGTTGAAGCGACCTAGGGTGTATTAGATTTTCCCATCAGTGCCTTCAAAAGATAAAAAAGCTAAAGGAATTTTCTTTCGGAAATATGTGAAAGCTGCAAAATGGTTGGGGCACCGAAATGTTGCAGAAAGTATCCCAGGGGGATTTGCTTTCGTCGATCAAAGTGGCGTCATTGCGGACATTTGCAAAGTGTTGAGAGTGCGAGCAGTAAGACAAGTATCCTCGTGGATCATACGGGTTATCGTTTGTGGAAGAATCATGACAGCGTGATGACGAGCGATCCAACACGCGTGTTACGCCTGGATGGAGGAGTGAATCATCAACGTGACTTGTTCGCAAACCAAAACCTGCGTTACATGGCACTGGCCTTACCAACGGTACTACCTGGCGCATTGGTCATTTTTGTGCGGTTTTTTATACGGGGAAAAAATCTTAACACTCGTTGACAGTACTCAGTTTCAGATAGGAAAACGATAAATGGCAAATTATCAATGCTGATAATAAGTTAAATACCACTTAAACTGTTGCTTCTCAAGCACCATTTGCTTGCGAGGATGTTCAACACCGATTCCAAAAAATCACATACAGCTAAATGACATAGTCAGCTGTATTTTGCTCAGTTTTACAACCAAAATGACAGATTCAGCGATTAGCCTCTCATTGCGGCGACTACCTGAGCGGAGATTCTGGAAGTATTGGTATTGTTTAATGTTCCCGTGAAGTTCAATCGACGGCTGACACAGTTGTTCACGTCACGTTGTCGCCATGCACGATTTCTTTTGGCGAAAGTTACATCGGCAATCGTGTCGAGCACAGAATGTCAGATGTGGAAATCACATTAAGAACTTGCAAGTACTGCTCGAGTGTAATGGGGTTACACGTACCCTTATATGAAAGGGCGGACCGCACAAGATGGTGTGACCGTACATAGGTGTGAATTACGCAAGTTAGTGTTATCACACATTTGTGTGGCTACACCACCACTAGAAGCCTCTACGTGGCAGCATTGCCAGTAGTAATGCGTAGTAATTAGGTGTTATTATATTGATTTGTGAAACCTAAGGTTTTCGATATTGGCGGCTCTGCTGCAACTAGAATAATTAAATACAGTTTTATTTCTGACGAAAGAGCGTCTTACCTTAGTTAAGGTCGTTGACCTTAGCTTAGCTTCCTCTAAGCAAAGTGCTACGGCAGCCCCGCTGCATCGAGTGTATGCGCTTAAATGCGACATTCCTCAACATAGATGAGTGTGTCTTTGGCCGCGATAAGAGCCCCATATCGGGTAACTTCATGGGCCTGTGGGTAGATCTCGCCGATATGTGTAGATTGGCTAGTCCTGTGAGACTTTTCTCAATCGTATTGCAAACTATGCCGACATGGCACAAACCCTCATTTCAAATCAAGATGTTAAATGGCGTTCAGGTATGGTAGGAGAGGAGACAATGACGCTGTGGAAAAATTACGCTCGCCTTCATTCTGGCTTTTCCAAAATCAAATTGGTCATCTCACGTCATTTATGACGGTTCAGCCTTTGGGTCAGTACTGTACCGCATATAGCCGCAATGTAGACGGGGCGGCGCGAAAGCGCATCTTCCACCACATCGATCTGACCCGGCTCATGTCTTGCCTTAATGATGAACTTGGCTTGACGACGTCGCTGTGCACAATAGCGTATGTTATGTATAGGTTATAGAAGTCCTAGTGCCACGCAGGTGCACCTTCAACTTGATGAAGGCATGTATCGATGCAACTGGCTTGGTATCAGCAGCAGGATAGTTCTTATCTGCCAATCCAACATGGCGAGACTCAAACGCGAATACGCGCTTATTCCTTTTGGAATTGAAACATAGCCGATTCACATGACGTGTAGTGGTGTCCGATGAGGGCCGTAAGTAAAGAAAACTATGCGGGACACTCGATACCGCTTTGGTTGACGTCTATTTTTGAAAAAAACGCCATACTGCTCTGTGAGCACTATGACCTGTTGGCCTAACAAGGATGAGTGGGGTGCACTCATGTTCATACGATATGCGGGATTTTTCAACGGCTTAGTCCAAGCAGCATGCTTCGGCACCTTTGGGTAGCCTACCGGCCCCTGCAGCGTGTTAGTCCATTCGAATCAATTTCGATTTGGCCTTTCAAGAGACGCAACCGGAAAACCGTTAGTTCTTTGGTCTTTGTGGACCAGCAACACGGCAGTCAATGAAGATATAGCCACACCATTCCTCAAAAATATTCCAGCAACATAGCTTGCATGTCGCTTATATCTTAAGTAGAGATCCGCGCTTTCCAGCAAAGTTTTGGTAAATAGCACCAGCAACAGACTTGATGATTTGACCGCAGACCATCTGCAAGCAGATGGTCAGAATGATCGTGCAAATTGTGTGTTTGGATAATAGCACCCGAAGCACTTACGCGGAAAGACTGCGCTGCTGGTGTGAGTTGCTTAGATAAGCAATACAATCATCTCCAGGCTTTACACAATTTTACATATTTAGTTTGGTAAACCACCGCCACTGAATGGCTCCGATCTTAGTAGGGAAGGTCAGTTGATCGAAGTCGAATTGCTATTGCCAGCTCGGCAATACTTCGTAGCAGTACTAAGAATACATTATCACGTTGAGGTTTAGCGTCAAGTACGCAGGGTGTGCGGCGCTATGGACGAGGGTTATTCGCGGAAAAGGGCGGCTCAGTTTTTAAGTTGAGCGCTCTTTGGTCCGGTGGCTTAATCAGAATTGTTACCAGTACCTGGTGATGTTGAGTATTATCCTCAGCCGGAAAAGTCTTGGAGGTCGGCCGGAAAAGTCGTGGAAGTCCTGAGGTTCCACCTCGGCAAGATTGCCCTGGAGCCTCTTTACGACCAGACACACGCTCACTTGTTATCTCTCGTGAAGGAGAGGCAAGGTCTTCCGTCATAACGCGACTTTCATCAGAGAAAGGCGATCGACCTTGCGGTGCAAAAATACTTTTGGTCAGTAACTGTTACACCTATCCTACATAGACGAGCGGAGCTGTTGAGAGCAGAATTTGAGGTGATGTATTCTACTTTGGTAACCGCGTAGTACTATCAAGCTGACCTGTAAAACCAAAAGACGGGAGAGGCGGAGGCTCCCTATGCAGTGCGCAAACTGATTCATATAGCATGCGGCACTTCTTTTAGCTTCAGTACCCCAGGTACATCCTAAATGGATGATATCGCTTTACAATGATAATAAGCTGGAAATTGTCGTGGGAGTCACAGCTGAACGTTGAAGCTCTCCCAATTGATGGGATAGGGCGCGGAATTTGATACTCTTGCAGTGGAGAGGCTGGTCATACTGAGCTCTAATTCTTTGGGAGGCATCTAGGCAGTGTATTGCCGAGTGTGTGTGGAGGTGTTTGGTGTACGGGAGTGGACCGTCTGTGCAAGCACGCAAAGAAGAGCAACACAGTGATGTGCACAGAGTGCAGAGGAACTTCAAGCGCTGAGGTTGCTCGTAGAGCTGCCACTTCTGCGCAGTGCCTCATGAAGATAAAAAAGCGTGAGCCACAATGTGGTCGACATTCCAGTAGGGTATGTGATGAAGCTAATATCGTAACTTTGTGCACTTAATCCCTTAAAAGTTGGTACAATTAAATTAATTACAAGAATTACACTCTGTGATAGTCGCACTGCGGTCTCAGATAAATCGTTATACTGCCCTGCATACGTGTGACGGGGTCATCGAACGCTACATTAGTCAAGAGATTTCAATCACCTTGAAGACCTTCAATCGTGTCGTTATAGTGAAAGCGCCGCTGGAAGTACCGAAGTCGAATGGCAAATGTCATAAAGATCACATGGATCGCGTCGATTGCCGGTGTGGCTGTCTTCTGTTGAGAAGCACCTATGCAGTCAGAGTGAATAGATCTTGTGAAAAGTGAGCATTTGGAATGGTTGGCATCCTCGCTAGCTTTTGGCCTGCAGCCAGAACCATGATACGGGTATGCAACTCGATTTGAAGCAGCTCAATCTCGATTGAGTCGCGAGCGCATATGTTGGCTAGCCGACTCTATTGTTACGAGTCGTGAGTGAATTGGTAGACGCAAATGAATTACTGCAACTTGTAACGATAAATAGCAAAACTCTTTGCAGTCGCTCGTCAAGCTTGACAGTCGATTTAATTTGTGGTTCTTCTTATGTTGTTAGTGCGCGGTCATCTGGTGCGGCTTGCTCGGACCCTCAAGCATCCACACAATATGCAGAAGCGCTAACCGGGGGATCGAAACCAGCAGACACACCTTTGCGCAGAATATCACACCAAGGTGGGTAGCGTTTTCATTTATGTTACTAAAGTATAGGCAGTATGGGCTGTAGTGCATGGAGCCTAATGATCTGCGTCGTCTTCTTGTACAGAATTCAAATTGATGTGTAATGAAGTCATTGTGTAGCTGTAGGAAGTGCTGTTGAAACTTTCATGAAGTACCTTCGACCATGAAATTAGATAGCGGCGTTCAATAGAAGACTCGTGACACACGCAGACAATCGCAACCGAACCCGGCGAGCGTCGAGATACCCCGGTATATACTTCTCTACAGCGGCGGACACAATAAAATAGTCTTCTTCACTGCCTATTCGCTCCGGCACGGTGATCCGATTCAGTGGAGCGGATTGTCGGTATCAAGGGTATTGATGTGGACGTTTTATAACCAGACGGACGGTAATATCGCGTGGCATGACCTTGCTCGAGAAGAGCGCGCAACGGATGGTCCTCGGAAGCCGATATAAATTTACGTTTATGATAAGCTACACTATGAGCAAGCTGAAAGACCACCCAACTCGGGCCACATATCGTTGTCGTATCGGCATAGTGCCTGCACGACAGAGAAGCTTGTAATCGTTGGTGATGTCGAGCGAATAAGCTGTAAAAGTTGTCCGAGACGCTGACGTTTGTGGTATACACCTCGACACGGACGCCAAATCCTCGATTGCTTTCGCTGATACACGAATTTGCTGGGAATGAGCTGCACTTGCTTCGTGTTCCGACACTGCTTGCGGCTCGAAAAAATCAGTTTAGCATCAACTGCCAGCACGTCCGTCTTGAGTTTACGATGTTCTGCTTGAATGGCCACAAGCGAGAACATCACCGTTTGTGCATTTCAAGAGTGCACAGAGGTCAGTACATCGCCTTGTGGCTGCATTAAAAGCGTTAACCCAATAATTTTATGACAGCGTTGTCGACTCGAGCTTGGAAGAATGGGGTGCCAACGGACCTGGCAGTTTCGTTGCATCCGATCACCAGACAACACGCAAATTAGAACAATTTACGTTCCAATTTAGAACCGACAGCACTGGCTTGGAATTGCTGTGCTTTGCTTCAGAGCTTTTACGATTCTCCAACTCGGTGTCAAATCGCGCCTGCAGGTTTTCGTTTGATTTGGCGAGATCAAATATTCATTTGCCTGCAAAATTTTCTCTCGTTGTAGTAAAATTTGCGCTCAGATCTGTGCCGTGATACTCGTGTGATTGCAGTAGATTGCCTCGGGGTTAAAATTCCGAAGAACAGTATATGCAGCGAATCGCCTGATTCTCGCTGCGCGTGGAATTCTACTGCTGGCTAGATTCTGACCATGAAATAGCAGCTCGGTGCACAGTATCTGGATATACAAGATGAAGCTATACCTAAAGCTCATACGAACCAGCAGTCGTACTATTTACGCCCAGTCGACGCAAGAAATGCCGACGGGAAGGGCGTTGGGCGCCCTATTGAGGATGAACTAAGTACTGTTGAGCCTCGAACAGGTAAAAGACAGCAGGACCCAACCCAGAACAGCTCCGGTCTAAGGACATTACATATGCCTCAATTTCACAGCTCGTGAAGAGGTCTTGTTCAGGGTGAATCGGGCGACCCTGAAAATCTATTCTGATCTGTATAGAACAGTTCAAAGGTCAGGCTCTGCAGGCTTAGTATCACTGTTGACAGCACTATCATGTCGACTGGCACTCGGTATCGGTCGGTAGCTGTTCGGCACATCATGCAAGCTTTTCATCTACAGCACTACGACAGCCAGCTTGCGCAAAGACCCTTAAAGTTGCAGCGTCGGATACAGTCATTTGAGGCGATCGCCAATAGTCGCCAAACATGGCTTGACTTAATTTGTCAAATCCAGAGTCCAGCCCTCCATGTTTAGATATGGTGTCGCCATCTTGTACTGACTCAGGTCAGCGAGTTCTACTGACATTATCTCGTCGTCATGCATCTAGCGGTCCAAATTTGAAGCTCTGCGCGAAATCGACTAAAGCTTTTTGCGCTGTTGCCATTTCCAGTGGGGTGATAGTGACATTCACCTCAAAGCCCCGGTGCTCGAGAAAGCAGCAAAATCTTTTGAGATTTCGTCGAGATCATACCACTCGATGTCAAGACTTCGTCGATCGAGATGCGCAATCAAGCAAGCGATACCGTACTTTAATGAACGCTCGGAGTCTGCTGCTTGGAAGTCAAACGTAATTTAACACCAGTTCAAACTACTATTAGTTTACGTAAAATTTATCGCTCAGTTTTTTTTAGGTATCCATACATATGTTCTCTTGTCAGAAAAATAATTTGAAAGCCCACAAACATAATAAAAGAGGCTATTGTCACAAAAAATGATTTTCGTCACTAATATAAAGAATTTTCATATTTTTCGGCTATTATTTATCTTACGTGCATTATGCCTTGCACGATCAAAATCCGGCTGGTTGAGGCACGTGATATGCCTGTGGTAGAGCGCACAAGTAAACTAGCAGATGCTTATGTTGCCATCACATTTGCAAGCTTTGAAGCCAAGTCATCAGTTTCCAAGAAAACGTTAAATCCTAAATGGGACGAGGAGTTCCGCTTCGATGTGGCCGATGATTCGGTGCTACAGAGTCAACCTATTGAATTTAAAATCATGGATCATGACGTGTATACGACGGATGCTACTGTGGGTATTGTCTATGTGGATCTCAATTGTCTCCTTATGCGAGATGGTCACGTTATTCAAGGCTGGTTCCCTGTGTATGACACACTTCTTGGAGTTCGTTGTGAATTGAATTTAGTGATTCGACTTCAGTACTTTGGAGATATAAATCCATTTCATGAATCGTCAGCAGGTGTACAATTTTTTGGATTGTCGACATTAGATCCGAGTATATATCGAATTGAAAGTCTATTGGGATTTGTCGAGGAGCTTGTAGTGCATGCCGATCCCGAATATTCATGGAGTGATAGTTTTCGAACATCGAGACGCAGTAATGAACATCGACAGTTATTGTTGTATAAATTGTCATCACAAGTTGCGACGTTAGTTGGAAAAAAGGCATTGGAGCTTGGAGGAAATGCTGTCTTGGCGTATAAACAATTTTTTGATGTCGAAGGAGATAGTGGCCTTGTGGCTCGTGCGTGTGGTACAGCGTGCTTTATTGTATCAGTGGGAAAGAGTGAAGGAATAGCAGGGGAATGTGGTAGTCAGCAGAGGACAAGAAGTGAGGATGGACATGATAGTGGCACAAGTTTAGATCCAAAAGACGATATCACTGAATTGGGGGAAGACAGTGTCGAGGGTCTGGTGTCTCCTCGTTTTTATCCACGACGCGTCATCAAAGCTTTAAAAGCACCGGAAGCTTTTAATATTTCTGCGCATGATGTACGTAGGTGAAATGGGAGGAAATTGTTACAAAGGCAAGGTGTCAATATTGATATGAAGCTGTTTTTTAATAATTTAGGAGGTGCAATTGATTACACTTAAAGTTTTTAATCCTGCTACAAGGATTCGGCTAGCTGGAATTGTCAGCGCACGCTCCGTCAAGTATCTTGGCAAGCTAGCAACAAAACTGGCGGATCAAGAGACGCGAGACTCGTGGTGGCTTGAACTCCGTGAAGAGGTACAATGTGCGAATTCAATCTTGTTGTTGTTATTGCTCATTGAATACACGTGTTCGGAGTAGATTCGAGCTCATGCGCAGTCACTCCAGTGTCCCTTTGTTATCGGCTACACTGAGTCCTGCACCATTCACGATGATGTATGTGTCATTTCTGCCTCGTACGTTAGCATAATGTTTATTAGGGTGCTTAATGCCAATTTAATCGAGACGCTTACGTTTGTAGAGGAACAGCAGCAGTAATGAAAAATCCTCTGGAAGAAAGACGAGGCCGGCGTGATATCACTCTTATTTATGATGTCGATCAAGATGGATCTGATGCGATCGCATCTTCGTCACCTATGCTAAGTATCCCGCCTCCCGAAGTCTCAGCAACTATTGGACGTCGAAGCCCCTCTTTCTCCTACACGACACATCCACTGCTGTCCAGATCAAAACCAAGGTATTATACCCGAAAAGCATTGAGCTGTTGGATCTTGTCTAAAATAGCGCTCTACTACCTTATTGCCTGCTACCAGGAGAAGTCGGGTATCCCAATCACCCTGTCTTCTTTGCCATATTCCGTACTCGCGATCGCTTGCCCCGTTTTCCAAGTACGTCAACAAGCCACAATTGTGCTTGATCAATGAAACTGTAGTTTTTGGTGTATTAAACTTATTGCTTCATATCCTGTGCTAGTATGAGGATGGTTCGTTGTGGTGTATGCGGAAACAAATGGGTACCTGAAATGATGATTGCATCTATTGAGCCCCCAGCTGGACTTGCAATGATGGGTAAAGGAACATTTATCCAAGCTCGAGTGTGCCGACAGCGCAGAAAAGGAACAGGTGATGTGAATGCAACAATCGTGTCCGACGCGTTACCATTCCTCGAGTACGAGCTGTATCGCCAGGTACTATATCATATGGTTGACGGAAGATACTAATGAATGTTTCTGCAGCTTATTGTTAAGATGAAAGTTCTTGGAGTAAACGCCGTGTTTGCATTTGATGCTCAGATCCAAGTCGGCGGTTCACTTATTGTAGGCATAATAACGGGTACTGGTCTATATCTTCCTGCCCTCCCTCCACCGCCTACGCTTCGAATTGAGCGAAACATTGATGTGGGTTAATTAGACTTTGCATTATGGAAAAAGCACACGGTAAATTGCTTTTTTCTAGGTAAAAGATGATGAAGATCGACGCTTGGTTGAGTTGCAAGCCCAAATTGAAGAACTCAGCACGTTTAACAAAGACAGGGTACGTTTCAAATGCTAAAATGATACGCAACCAGTACAGTTAAGCTTTTTCACTGGGTTTGAAACTCATATATCTGTAGCTCCATCGAGACCGTGTTTGTATTGTTCAACCTGAGTATGAAAATTATTTTGGAGGTAGAAATGCGCGGCTCCAGCCTCAAGGCAGCAATTTGCTTTCTTCTGATCAAGATGATGAAAATGGAAAAGGATTTAAACGCCTCGCTTTCTTTCGCACTGTCGCGAAGCGAGCACGCCGGAAACAGGGACAACCACCGCCATTTGACGACGGAATTACCTCCCAAGTAACTACAATCGCAGATAGCGCAGCTGCAGCAGGAACACTGAATAATAGCAGTACGAAGTTGACGGGAGGATTCGAAACACCACCTGCTCCTTCATCTCAACCTTTTCTTGAAAATGATACAAAGACATTGAGCTCGTCTTCCGAGTCTAGTTCCGAATCCGAAGAAGAAGCGTTCGTTGATGGTTTTGGTGACTCAAAGCAGACTTTCGTATTGGAAATCGATGATGAGACCGACGAAGATCTCATGTCCGTACTACTTGAGCAAGAGCTACCAGAGGTACGTACTTATTCGACGAAAATGTAGGCTACTTTGGCCAATGTGACATGATGTTTGAATGTATTATAGGGAATTTACATGTGCAATACAGACCGTTTGCCTGGTGACTTTACTTCGGGCGAGAATGTACACTTGATTCTGTCCATGAAACGAGTAGAGTGGGATGAAGATCGAATGCGAGATACACGTCTGAATGAATTGCTTTCTGTCGTCTTTAAGGAGCTGTTTGCAAGGTATGTATCAACCTTCATTGATCTTATTGATGTTACTCTTACAAAAAATCATTCAGTCTTTTGTTCAAAGTGCGCTCGTACGCTCCCTGTGCTGTATGTGGTCTCAAGACACGCATCGCTGTTGCTTCTGAAACGATGGTAAGCACAATATCACTTTTATTTGGGTTTTAAAACTGATTCTTTGTTCATCCAGCTCGAAGTCGTTTTAAGTGGAATGGCAGTATTAGAAAAAGATTGGGAAGACTCAAAGGAAATCTCCGTAAACAATACTACCATATCTCTTGAGATGCAAGAGACACAGCAAGGTGATGCTAGCGGAAAACACACATTAACATCAGCAACGGTGCACGATATACCGCTTTCCGGCAAAGTTACTCCTTCCACACTTCACCTCGATGTGACACCTCGAATCCGAAGCTTTTGGCATCACCGATTTATGAAAGCTCACATGCAAGACACTGGTGGGACTCCTGCCTTTTCAGCTCCGTATGGACGCGAATGGATTGAGCTGACACCACTTGGCTACATTCCTGGTGCTCACGTGACGCGATACCTTGGTCGTGTGACACTGCACTTTATTAAAGAGAGCTGGACCGTGCGTGAGAGCGGAGGATTGGGCGCTTTTTATCACTTGTTTTTGAGTGAAGCCATTGCAATTGTCCGTGCTCATGTGCGTTCATTAGGAGGCAATGCTATGCTAACATTTCGTCTAGTACCTATTGAGTCTAGTCAACTATACCGTAACCAAGTGTACAATATGATCAGCATCACAGGTGACGTCGTCATGATTGAACGCGAGGGTGGCAAAAGCACATCATATCTACACAAGATCGACAAAGTTGCTTCTTTCGATGACGCTAGTGTCAGAGCTTCTAGCGAAGACTCGGTCAGTGTCGAGTAGATATTGCTGATATTCAAGAATGCTTTCATATAGTAATGCAGAGAATGAAGTTGTATTTGCTCGTGGCTGTGTACTACTAATTTATATTATAAGAGGACAATACATATTTGTAATATTAATACTGATGCTTGTGATGATACTAATTACCACATTGGCATCTGTGGTGGTATCGTACTTGGTAGCTCAAGCATTTGGTTTAATCGGAAGGAGAGTGTTCTCACTAGATGCAAAAGTGGTTGTCATTACGGGCGCAGGAAGCGGCATTGGAAGAAAATTAGCTCAGAAAATATTTAGAGAAGCCACAGACGTGACATTGGCGTTATTGGACATTAATATTAATGCCTTACAGACACTCGAGAAGGATTTACTACAGTCACAAGACGGTGAAAAGCTTAATAAAGTGCTAATCTATAAATGCGACGTAGCAGATTATCGGTAGGGAATGTATGAGTTTTAACCATGCGACCTCACGTTAAGCTGTTTCAAATAAGTACAGAATGGTTGAGACTATCATGGCTCGTGTGATTATTGATGTGACACCAAAACACATTGGGGTACTTATAAACAATGCAGGTGAGGAAGAGGTTATCCTTCTGTTATGCTGATAATTAGTGCTTCCTAAATACAGCAATGATATTTCGAATAGGAATCGTGATGGGAAAGTCGCTCGAAGATTTGACCCCTGAGCAAATTCAAGCGACATTTGCTGTGAATACAATGGCACATTTTTGGACGGTAAAAGCGGCTCTTCCGTCGATGAAAAAAGCTTCAGAAGCGCTCTTAGTGACGCTGTCATCCGTGATGGGATTGACTAGCAGTGCTGGATTAACTGATTACTGCGCGAGCAAAGCTGCTGTGAATGCGTTTCACGAAGCATGTGAGTAGATGCTTTTGAAATATCGTTGCTAGATTTTTACATTGCAAATTTTACGGCTGATTTGTAGTGCGTTTGGAATTATGGCGTGACAATATCAAGTCGATTCGGACGCTGCTAGTGTGTCCAGCTGCTGTAGATACGGGAATGTTTGCAGGGGTTCGTAATACAGATGATTGGGCTCTTAAGATCTCGCGCTTTTGCATTCCTATGCTGTCAGAGGCTGAAGTTACTGAAACAATCTATCACGCTATGTGTCGAGATGACGAGCTTTTAGTGTCGTGCTTTTCGGGATGGAGGGGTCTTGTCTTATCATGGGCCCCAACTATTGCTCGTGTTTTGCCGGTTCCTATCTTTGACTTCGTTGTTCGCTTGGGTGGAGGTTTACACGGCATGGACACGTTTGTCGGACACAACGGCACTACTGGACAAGATGAAACATAGGCGACAAAGATTCTTCTTGACTTTGTCTCAACTAAACTGGAATTCAAGAGACAGGTTGGTCAATGCAAAGTCGTAAGCGATAGGTAGGGGATAATCCAACGAGCGGTATAACAGACATAAACGTCCAAAGGAAAACTGCAATCACCTTTTAGCATCATAGGGCTCGATCTGAAATGTCTCGGTCCGGCTACCGAATTGGATGAGGTAAAATCTGTCAGCCTTTGCCATCTAAAGCTTTCTTTTACAAAATTCGTGATAATCTGTTCAAGCAGCTGAAGAAACACAAGTATATGGGTAGTTAAAATTTACATTTGTCAGTTGGTGACGATCCAATCTGACATCACTGCCTGCCTAATTTGCATAACGTCATAGTGTCTAGACACAGCCGTACATATTAAAAAGCTTGTGGCAGTGCGATGGTCTCAAGATACATCTTTGCTGAAATATAGTCGCTGATAACGACATGATGGATCAAACTGATCGGTATTGGATCGAGCAATACATATTCGCTATCATAGCACAAAATAAGTAAGCAAAACAAAACAAAACGAGAATTTCAAATTTATACGATCTGACATCTCAGGTTCACTTCTCCAAAGTTCTTGATAATCTAAGTTGATTGAATAATGGACTGTTTTGTTTTGAAAAGGATGTCGAAGATCATGAAGATAACAAGGACTTAATGAAATGGTAAGAACCAAAACTCATAGATCGGAATATAGATAGCTGATTATTTCCGATGAAAGCGAACAAGCAAACCAAGTTACAACCAAGAGAGCTATGAATATAAACGGTATAATACTTTGATTGAGGTCATACTGGCGGGGGCGATAGCTTATTGAAAAAGGGGAAGTATGGAAATGATTATCTAGATTAAACATAAGGTAGGCTAAAAGAAGTTTGACAGCTAATGGATACGTTAATACGGAATCAGGATAGCAAAGACGCTGTAGATATCGTTGCATTAAGATCGAGTGATAAGGAATTTCCAACAAAGTACTACAATACAAAGTACATGTGGTTGACAAAAAGCAGTTAGAAATTAGAAGTGAAAAGATTTATCACAAAGGGTTGAAAATGTGCGGTTATGCAGCCATATTTCATGTTCAAAGAAGTTGGAAAGAATCAATAGAAATTATTGCTGGTTTAACATTGAGATAAGAGAGATGACTAAACGACAATAGGTCTGTATATCAGACTTTTAACGTATAAAAGCGTATTCATCAGCATTGGGTTATAAGGTTGCGACTCTTGGGAAGATAGTCAAGCAGATGATATTAGTGGAATAGATGAAGATTTGCCGGATCAGATAAGAAATCGGCAATATGGTGTGTGGGAGCTCATCGTATTTATTCTAGATAGTGTATGTTTGCTTCGCAATAATATGTAAACTTCTCGACGTCTAGATCATAATGAACACTGGGAATGTTCTATTCAGGAATTTGTGAAATCTCACACAATTTGAACATCAGATAACGGCTTGCAATACTCAGTACATACAATTTAATCGTAAACCTGATACAGGGTAAATGATACAATGAATCAGCTTGTGATGTAGTGAGCTCTAAGGATTGACAAGAAGATTTTAGGCGGAGTCGAATACTGCAGCTCTTAGACAAAGTAAAGCTCAATATTGGGACTGAAAGGAAGAGAGAATAAGGCGAAAACCAAATGTTAGGACATCTGTTTGTTCTCAAATTGACATTAAACTAAAATGTAGAAATGAGCCACTAGTGGCTATCACAAAATTGTTATCCATCTGATGCACTTACTTTTGTAGATAGCGTTGAATGACTGATGACTGACATGTTGATGGGCTCCGAATGCAACCACGTCGATTTTGTCCGAGCATCTACATCATTTACATATAGAATGGGAGGCCTTTGAATTTGAATGACCAAGTGGACATGCTTGTTTTGTTTCGATACATATCGGCTCGATGCAAGATAAAAGTTTCGATTTCTGTCTAAAATCGATGAGTATATGGTGCAATGCACGATATCTTAACATAATGATAGCATTTTTGAGAACAAACTCTCGTTTGCACGTGATTTACATTGTTATTGCTAGATTTATGCCGTTTACATTCTTTAAAACTGCTCAACGTACTTGAGAATGCTCTGTTATATCGTTAGTATCGCTGCGGTAAATATGCTCGTGATGCATGTGCTTAACGTACATAGTAAAGATTCCAGCCAATTCTAGGATAGCGACTGTTGATGCAAGTGGCAAAGAAAACACCTCCAGCTCTTGACGTATGGGGCATGTTTTAATCATAATGATGGAAGCGCTATAGAAAGGCTAGCATTCTCGCATCATATGGTTGCGGGATGCATAGCTACATAATTCGAGAAGCCCATGTTTGTGTAGCCGCTTTGCCACCAATGTAATGACCAGTAATGCTGGAAGGAATCGATCTCATGACTTGCCTACTTACCAGCAAAATTCAATTATCATACAGATTTTTCTACATTCCTTGAATGCCAACTCATCAATCAAACAACTTTGTGTGACAATTATCGATTTCTTATTAACGTACTCAACAACTAGCACTCAATTATACAAGATACGGTCCGTTTGCTGCTGTCCAAGAATGCTGTGCTACAGCGTTGTTGACTAAACAGACTGATGCTGGTGAACAATTGCCATGTACGTATCGGCCTGTCTGATCTTAGCCTCGTGACTCGAAACCAAAGCACGAAGACGTTCATTTTCCTCTTGGGATTTAGCCAGCTCGTAAAATTCGCATGCAGCATGCTCGCGGGTCTGCCTCGACATCATACGATTCATGCTCATTTGATGTAAACGTCTCTCTAGCAATTTGGATTCCTCACGAAGACGTGCTACCTCTTTCTGAAAATATATATGTACAAAAAAAAAGTGAGTGCCTGGAGCGATATATGATCATTTGTCAAACGTACCCTTCGAACAGCGTACGTGCATTTCTTGGTACGCTTGCCTATCTTCTGGATCGGCTCTGAGTAGCATCGCACCATTTTCGGAATCTTGAGAGGTTCTGGGGCCAACATAGTCAAAAGGTCTTGTACCTCTCGTTTTGAAAAGCCAGGGTTATATGCATCCACTGCCGTGGGAGTAGATGTCCGAATGAGGGGAGTGAAGTCGTCGACATATTTGACGTCGCAATCACCAACTTCCTTGGGTAGTACAGTGTCAATATCGTTGGCCACAATTAAGCTTAAAAGCTCCTGGTCTATAGGTTCCAGATCGTCAATAGAACGACCTGCAAACAAGGATTGAAGTTCCGGTACCATGATGGTGAATTAAGTAATAGTACAGACTGAAGTGCTGACTCAGCTTGCGAGAGCACAAGCAATTATAAATGTGTAGTACCAATGGTCGTCTTAAATCAAGTATGGATTCAATTCGACGGACGTATGTGATAACACACAATTCCAGCCGGAAATTGCCCGTAAGCTGTCTGTGATAGCACAAGGACTGTGCCGACAGATTGCCCACTTTTTACAGCAGTCAGCTCAATGACATAAGGTCCTGAAATTCACACCGAATAACTTTTGCTTTCTACGCTTGACTCGAGAGGATTAATAGGCATGAAATCGCTTCAATTTAAGCGTCGATTGAAACGAGCACATGCACTGTAGAGGTGACTAGAACATACCACTATAGTTAGCAATTTTGATGCCAGCTATTACACTTTGTCATAGAGTCTCCCAGCTGGTGCATCTGAGAATAAGACAATGAAGCTCTTATAGAAGTAAAGTCGGGTAATAAACATGTCGAAAGGATGCGTAAAGAATTGAGCATCCAACGTTTTTACTGTCATCAAATCGGTTCAACACAGGGCAGACCATGTGGAGTGTGAGTACTACTTTGTTGCAGGCTGAATCATATGAAGCATATCCAGAACTATTGCTAGTTGCTAGCAGCAGATATTACGACTTCAGACTCTACATAAGTTCGAACGCAACCTAACAACACAGAGTTTGTCACAAGAGAGACTATTTGACAATTGACCTTTTCCGAGATCTCGATGCTTGACCAGCTATAACATTCGAGCGTTGAATTTGATGAACAATAACCCCACAATTTGTTGTAGCAAAGTGGCTACCGCTTTGGTAAGTGCTGTACACGTGCAGATTCATTAAGAAAAATTTAGTTTTACTTTAAAAGGCAGTGCGCTAGCTCGCACGCTGATCTCAAGTGCGCAGACACGTTACTTCAATTAGCCACTTGCTATTACTTTCCATTAGGAACAGGAAAATTACTGATAGTGGATCTTCAACATTCTAAGGCATTTGTCGCGCTTAGAGCTCGGGTTTTCTTGATCTAGCTTGGCTGGGCATGCAATACCACAAAGCTTTGCAGCTTGAAGTTTTTTGTGTGAGCTTGAGCAGTCACAATCCCTGGCACAGTGTCTTAAATAACTGCGTCATTTAAGAAAAGTCGCATGGATCTTCATGACATGACAATTTTATCGCCTTCGGATTATCGATCATTTAATTGATACTATTACAAAGTACTTCGTCTCGATAATGGAGGATCAGCAGCAACCTCATAAAAAGTCGTGGGACCGATTTTGATCACAAATGTCAACATCACTGATAAATGTCTTTATGAAGAGAGAACACTCCATAGCGTTGCGACACAAGGTACAAAAAAATAAAACGAGTGAGTATTGATGGTATCGATAATTAAAAAAGAGCACTGCAGTCAATAGTGTATTAGTCAAGCGCATATAGATAAGATGTGAGCTTGAACACAACAAAGCCAATTCTGATGTATCGTAGACACCCAAATACCCGAGGTTTGATTTGTTCCGCACAATGTAAACATACTATAAAATGGCACCTCATGCACGGAAACGTCTGCAGTATAAGTTCTAAACAGCTGTATACAGCCTCACCAAAAAGTGTACCGCAAGCTCTATCTTCGACAACACAAGAAAAGTTTCAACACAAGGTCGTGCTTTCAACGCTTTTTTAAGTATTAGCAAAAGAGATAGCTGCAATTATTTTGCGCAAAGCAGTTCGGGTCTTTGAACATTTATCGAAAGCACCTTTCACTACAAGTGTGTCTGTACAGAAATCAGAACGATTTAGAATCAGCGATGAGATAAGTTAGAAGAACGGCACATCTTCAGAGGCGTCCGAGTTTAGTGTTAGATTTATAAATAGCGTTTTTGAGGTAATCATTCTTTAATTGACATACCACAAATCGCTTAAGCTAAAGCCATCGGGCAAACTTTCAATAGCTAACCCAAGCTCTTTGGAAAACGTTGGCTGCCGGTCTTGATTCTTGTTCACTGCTGCATAATAAGCTGCAAAGGCATCCATGGAGCTAGCATGGTCCTCCTCAATCACGACATCGTCAATCTGACGTGGTTGTCGAACTTGTTCTAAAGAAGCTGGTTTCTCTTCAATCTCAAACTCGACACCGTAGATTGGATTGATCGCAAAAACGCTATGCAGACTCTGTATTTCTCGAAAAATTTCATGAAGACGTTCTTCAGGATCCACCCGAAATCCCAAAATGTACCCACCACTTCCTACGGATGTTTCAACGACCAATGCTGGGCCAAATTTGGAACCACGAATCCGAGCTGTATGAATCTGCATGTATGGAATACTGACATTAAAGTTCTCAGCAAGATTGGCATGCCAAACAATGCGAACATTCGTCACAAAGAACGTTCCAAGGTTTCCTTGATCCGACGAGAGATTCCAAACCCCATTTAATCGCGTGTACACCTGTTCATGCGGTAGGAGTGTCAACTCTTTATCTTTAATAATCGCACCTCGTAATTTTAACTCGCGATAGAGTTTTGTAGTCTCGTAGGATCGAAAAACTGCTTGAATTGTCGTGAAGAGTCGAGGACTAGCCTTTACGAGACTTGTAAAGATAAACTCAAAGCAACTATTGG